TCTTCCTGTGGGTCTGAATTACCATCTGCTGTAACTTTCTTATTCAATTACAGTTTTGTTTCAACCTGCCTTCTTTATGCTGTTACCATCAAATATGTTACATTTTTATGTTATAGACCCTCTTTAATACACATGTATTATTCTATTCACTTGCTATTCAAATCAGTTAAGAGAAGAAATATGCAATAATATTATATTTTATAATTACCTACATTTTTTAAAACTTTATTTTTTAAAAACATGTGAGTTCTGAATCACTACCATCTAGTGTTACTTATTTTCAGCCTGAAGAACTTCCTTTACCATTTCTCATAAGGCAGGTCTGCTATTAATGAATTCTCTGGGTTTTTGCTTATTTGGGAATGTTTTAATTACTTCTTCATTTAAAAAACATATGAAGAGATATGAAGTGCCATCTTCCTGGCACTACAAGAGTCTCTAGGTTCATCTTGGGATTCCTGCTCCAGCCCCCAAATCAACCATCCCTCCACAAAGAAGTCCTGAGTCCTTTCAAGAATGGCATCAGAAATCAAGATCTTTGTGTGCTCAGTTGTTTGCTTTTATTATTGAAAAACCGTTTTTGCTGGATATAAGACTTGTGGTAAGAGTCATTTTTTTCTTTCTCCTTTCAGCACGTTTCATCCCATTGCCATCTAGTCTCCATTATCTCACATGAAAGTCCGCTGTTAATCTCCTTAGGCTTTCTTTCATCTTATACAGGGTGAATTGTTTTCTCTTGTTGTTTTGAACAATCTCTTTGCCTTGTGTGGATTTCTTTGTGTTTACCATACTTGGAGGTGTTCTTTGGGTGTATAATTTTAAAATCAAATCTGGGAAGATTTCAGCCATCAAGTGAATATATATATTTTTTTCTGTTCCTTTCTCCTTCTCTTGTTCTGTCACTCTCATTGCATGTACATCCACATTTTTTGACATTCAGTTAATTTGTTCTTTTTTATCCCTGATTTTCATATTGCATAATCTCTATCAATCTACTTTCAAGATTACTGATTTTTTAAAAATAATTTTTTAGTTGTAGATGGACATAATACCTTTATTTTATTTAGTTTTTTATGTGGTGCTGGAAATTGAACCCAGTGCCTCATGCATGCAAGGCAAGCACTCTACCACCAAGCCACAACCCCAGCCCCAAATTCTTTTTTTCTTATGGCTTATATTTTACTGTTGATTCCCTTGTGGTAAAATTCTACTTTCAGTTATATTAAAAAAATATTAAAATTTCAATTATATTAAAAACCAATTTTCCATTTGGTTCTCTTTAAATAATCTTTTAATTGATATTCTCTACTTGATGAGGCATTATCAACATGTAGTCCTTTAAGTCCTCAAACATGATTTACTTTGATTCTTTGAATAGCTGCTTTGAAGATCATCAGCTAAGTCCACCATCTGGACTTCCCCAAAACAGTTTATGTTGCCTGCTTCTTTCCCTGTGTGGGTTGCACTTTCCTATTTCTTTGTCTATCTCATAATTTTTGTTAAAAGCATACATTTTAGATGATATGGTGACTTTGGGTAATCCCTGTCCTCCTTTCTTGGCTTGTCATCATTTACTGACTTGGTTAGACTAGGTCAGGAGTTTGCTGTTTCCCTTGCTATTAGTGTCCTCTGATGTTGTTCTCAGAGGGTGCAGCCTTGGTCTTGATACAGTCTCCCTGACAACAGAGTTGATTTCTGTTTCAGCTGAGTTCTCTTTGGTTTTTCATCTTTCTGCCAAACTTCTGGCTGCCTCAATTGGCATCAAACCTAGCTATTAATCTTTATTAATTGCTACCCAATTTCTCTATTGCTTTCAACAACACCCCAAGACATCAATTTATCACATCCTAATCCAATTAAAGTCAGGGCCCTTTGCAGGGGCAAGTTGTTGCTAGTCTTTGAAGCTTGCCCAAACCTCAAGAGGATTTTTCGTTTTGTTTATGTGTGTGTGACACTGTGGTGCTGAGGATTGAACCCAGGGCCTTGCACACGCTAGGCAAGCACTCAACCACTGAGCTATATCCCCAGCCCTTCTTAAATTTTTATTTTGAGTTAGGTTCTCACTGATTTGCCCAAGTTGGCTTCAAACTTGTGGATCCTCCTGCCTCAGCTTCCAAGAAGCTGGAAGTATAGTTCTGGCAAGAGGGCTCTTCTTAGTGGTTTCTTTCTCTAACTCTGCTGGGCAGGGTGGTACACATCTGTAGTCCTAGTGATTTGGGAGACTGAATTAGGATTTTCACAAGTTTGAGGCCAACCTCAGCAACTAGCAAGATCCTTGACAACAAGACCCTTCCTCGAAATAAAAAAACTAAAAGGACTGGAGAAGGAGCTCAGTAGTAAAGCACCCCTAGACTCAATTACCAGTACAAAAAAAAAGTCAGCCTTAAAACGGAAGGACATGCTGGGTGCAGTGGCACATGCCTATAATCCCAGTTGCTTGGGAGGCTGAGGCAGGAGGATTGTGAGTTAAAAGCCAGCCCCAGAAATGGTGAGGTGCTAAGAACTCAGTGAGGCCCTGACTCTAAATAAAATACAAAATAAGGCTGGGGATGTGGCTCAGTGTCAAGTGCCCTGAGTTCAATCCCTAGTACCAAAAAAAAAAAAAAAAAAAAAAAAAAAGGACGTTCTGATACATGCTATACTGTGGATGAATCTCAAAGACATTATGTTAAGTGAAATGAACCAGTCACAAAAGCACAAATATTGTATGATTCCATTTAGAGGGAGGACCTACAGTAGTCTGAATCATGGAGACAGGAAGATTGGTGGTAACCAAGGGGTGAAGGTAGGAGGAAATGGTGAATTAGTGTTTAGTGAGCAGAGTCTCAGTTTGACAAGACGGAAAAGTTGTGGAGATGGATAGTGGAGAAGTCACACAACAGTGTGAGTCTATGTAATGCCGCTGAATGGAAAATTTTATATGTATTTTACAATAAAAGAAGACAGGAAAGTGAATTGAGACTGATAAAGTGTACTTCAATACACAATTTTTCACATACACACAAAATTAAGAATTCCTTAATAAAGGAGAGAAAGAAAAGAAAAAAGGGGAAATGAAGGGAAAGAAGATTAGTATTTCTGAACTGGATTAAGATATCCCAATCTGTTAAAAACAAAACAAAACAAAACCCAAAACAAAAAAACTCAGCAGAACTTCATGATTTCCCCGCCCACTGAATATGGAACCGTTATCATTTGAATTACATGGAGCCTGTGGGGAGAGATGGCAGGGCCAGCAAGTCCTCAGAGGAGAAGCCACCAGGATTCCCTGGGGTAATTGGTCCTTTCCAACCCAGGATCGGGCCAAAGCTGAGGCTGCCAACAAGAAGTTGCGGAAGCAACTGGCCGAGTTCCGGGCGCCACAGGTGATGGTGTACCTCCGGGAGAAGATCCTCAATGTGGAGATGGAGAAGACCATCAAGATGTGGGAAAGGAAAGTGGAAATCGCAGAGGTGAGCCCCTGAGAGCCCCGTGGGCTGGGACTCCACATTTCCATGGGGTTGTCAGTCTTTCATACCTGTGACATTTTGTTTAGGATTTTGTTTTGGGGGCCAAGACTATGGATGTTTGGGTGGGCTACATCTGTGAGAAATCTCAGCAGTTGCTTCAACTATTAAACCAAAATGAAGGATGATTTAAAAAATCAGTTCCTTTTTCACCATTAGGGACACAGTATTTTTAGGTATCAGGGAGACACTCTGTAGTAATAAAGTGTTTGGGGTTTTTTTTTTTTTTTTTGGTACCGAGGATTGAACCCAGTGGTGCTCAACCACTGAGCCACATCCTCAGCCCTTTTTTATATTTTATTTTAGAGACAGGGTCTCACTGAGTTGCCAAGTGCCTTGCTAAGTTGCTGAGGCTGGCTTTGAACTCATGATCCTCCTGCCTCAGCCTCCCAAACGGCTGGGATTACAGGCATGCGCCACCACATCCCGCAATCAAGTGTTTTTATTTGCTTGTTTTCCTTTTCTTTCTTTTCTTCCCTCCCTCCCTCCCTCCCTTCCTTGCTTCCTGGTTACATCCCCAGCCCTTTTTATTTTTTGTATTGAGACAGGGTCTTGCTAAGTTACTGGGCTGGCCCCTAACTTGAATCCTCTTGCCTCAGTTCCCTGAGTTACTGGGATTACAGGCATGCACCACCTGCTCCAAGGGAGTTGTTTTCTTAGTGAATTCTAGAAGCTTCTGAATCCCTCCACACCATAGGTAATTTGGTGGTTGCTACTTTATACATGGAGAAGCCAGTTTTTTAAAAATGAGATAACAATGGATTTTTAATATCACTCAGAACCCAGTTCCATACATTGACAGAGTTACCGTGGGCCTTTGTCTTAAACTAATCCCACAGCCTTTGAATATGGTCCTGTGTGCCCAGGAAGTGCCCTGGCTCCCTGTGAGCTGTGGAAGAGAAATGGGCAACGTAAAGACACTGTATTGGTGTCAAGACTGCCACAGCCAGGATGCAAACCAAGGCCACTTGGAAGACATCATTTAAATAGCTTCCGGGGCAGGCCGCTTGGAAAACTGGGGGCTTGGTGTCTTCACGTCTAGGACCTCACTCCACTTCCCTTGTTCCTTTCTCCTGCCTTTTCCCTGGTCACTTGGTGGCAGGGAGAAAATTAGGATTCAAACTTGGGCCCCCCAGACTCCAGCCAAAATCTACAACTCCTCAGGCTCCCTAGAAGGATCTCCTGATGGCCACTTCCCCTTGGTGGCATGCTGCAGGGCAGAATGCTGCCCCCTACAGGTGGCCCACATTTGCAGCAAGGCTGGATGAGTGCCCCATTAGGTATAGGCACTCAGATTTCCCCAACTGACCTTCTTCCCCTCCCCTTTTGCCATTTTGCAGATGTCCCTGAAAGGCTACCGCAAGGCTTGGGATAAAATAAAGGCAAGCAACGAGGAATTGCAAGCAATTGGCTCTCCTGGGAAATAGCTAGGGGCAGGAGCACGGATGGCTGACCAAGAAATGATCCATTAAAGCACTCCCCTCTCTTCTAGTCACAGGGTCCTCTCACTGGTGTCCCCAACTCCCCAGACAGGCTGGCCATCACCTCCCAGGCTACATCTGCCCACGGGGAGTCTTCACCGCCTGGCCCCTGGAACCATTGTCACTGAAAGAACCACAGGGCACGCTAACGGTTTGACACTTGTTAGCCCACGTTTAGTTCACAAGCACAAATGAAAGTGACCTTTCCGCATGTGGGAGTGGGACAGAGGAGGGAGAGCCAGCCCAGCGTGTGCTGTGGGGCCGTCCGTGGCAGCCCAGGTGTGCAACTATCAAAAACAGACACCCCAACATCATGGCGAATGCCTGGCACGTGGCATCCTGAGCTTCCTCTTCAGTTTGGTGGATTAGCTCCCCTTAGACTAGACACCGCTGCCAAAGAAAACAAGCACGAAGAAAACCAAGATGATTTCTTGGGGCTGATGTAACCTGTTCTGACCTGCAAAAGACCCCCCCTCCCCAGCCTCCCCACCGTAATAGTCATAGTACATGGGTTGAAGGGCCGCCTCCGAAGATCTGCCCGATTCCCGGAGACCCTTTTCCCTAAAGTCTAGCTCATCTCTAGTGCTGTTCGTCAGCTGTGAAGTCATAGTGGAACTACTTTGTTCTTCGAAGGAGGTTTGGGACCGTCTGGTTTGGCTCACTTCAGAATGTGTGCTCCTGTGGCTCACTTCAGAATGTGTGCTCCGTGTCACGGCAGCGTGCTCTTCGAAAGAGGGACGAGGTATAAAATTGTCCCAGTGTTGGAGTGAGAACAGGGGATGGTCATCCCTGGTAGTCATGGACATGATCCAGTCGCTGTAATCTTCCACCCTGGTGTATATAAAGATGCCTGGGCATGTATCTCCACCTTGGGTCAGGATTCCTCTCAGGATCCACAGATCCAACTGCTGTAGCTGGCACATCATGGGGCTTCCTGCTTCCCCCTGCGACAAAGGACAGAAGGCTTCAGGTCTTAGAAAAACATGTTTTCTTTTTTTAATAGATCCTTGTGCTGTTTTTTCTAGAAATGTTTTACACGGGTTCTCCCTGGAAATAAGGCAGATTGTAGGATACTATTTCAAATCTACACAGCCACCACCACAAATTCCAACATGATTTTCCTTTTATTATGCGAATTATTTGTGGACTCCTATGATTGCCTGAAGTTTCCTGGTTCATACTGCATTTTCTTGTCCCTTTCATGTCCTAAGTACTTTGACTACATCTTCCCTCTTTGGGCTTCTCATTCCTCAAATATTGGTATTACTTACTCTCCTTTCTGGCTTTACTGCATGCTATTCCCCTTCTCCTCCCTAGCTTGCTCCCATCTTTCACCCAAGCTGCTCCTTTCCAAATGCAATCCCAAAGGGAATGTCTAGAGAGTGAGGGCAGAGCCCCCAGGGAATGTCCACTGGGTTAGCCTCCCAGATTTCCCCACCCTAGCCAAGTAACGAGGTTCTCTCTGAGCCCAAGTGGGGACACAGTAAATGCCTCTAACACATGCAAAGCACCATGGTACCGTGCACACAGGATGCACTCTCTATCATCTTGATGTCTATAAAAGGCCACCAGTTTTCTACAAAAAGTTGAGAAAAATGGGAAAAGCAACAAGACCATTACTAGGCATGATTTACTTGTCCCACCCACTCTCCACTCCAGGCCTCCTCTTAAAGGAATGTCCCACACCCACCTCTAGCCCATGGTCCATCTTAGGTCTCTGAAGAGGGCTGTCCTCCAATGGCTACTCAGCCAAATTGGACCAGTGAGGCCTGCCTGGCTGGAAGAGCAGGCAGTGAGATGTTGCTCTCACTGTTTGAACACAGGCAGACCCCGAGTGTCTGACAAAAGGAGCAGATTCATCCATGAGAAGCAGAGAGGCAGAAGAGCGGCCACTGCGGCCCCTTCCCAGGGTGAGGCCAGGGTGTTTGGTCTGTTTGGGGTATCCTCCTTCAATAAGCCTCCCTTTTCCTGAGGAAGTCACTCCAAAAGAGAGGTGAGAGTAAAGAGAAGAAAGAGCAACTTTGCAGGAAGGGCCTATCTGTACAGCCCTCGTATGGGGGGAGGGAAGGGCTTCTCACAGAAGAAAACCCCAATATCTGACATTCACCAGCACTAGAGGAGAGTCTAGATTCCACACAGGCTGGTTTCAATGACTCTTCTCCTACAGACCTGCTCAGATATATCTGCATGTGGAGTTCGGCACCGATTTTCAGCCCATTTAAAAATCTGTGACTTAGACATGCTTAATCATGCCACACTGAACATGGGAACTGGTTTGTTCATTCAGCAGATTTGTGTTGAGCCATCTGCCCGATGCTGTTCCTTCCGGTGATAGCCTTGAATCCCAAGGCATGCCCTCACGGAGGTTCCCATGCAGGGAGGAGGAGCCTCTAGTCCCTCCTGGACGTACCCAAGGCTCAGTCTCAAGAATTAGGTTCTACTTTATCATTCTTACCAAGCAGACGGCTTCGGTTTCCCGTTGTGTGTGACTGCCGCATCCTGTTTTCTGGAGTAGGTGTAAGGGACACAGGTCAATGTCTTTCACGGAGATTCTCCTCAGGATACTCATTGTCATGTGATTTCCTGTCTGGACCATGCAACAGAGAGCCCAAGAATTATTAAGAAGAAGGCAGTCCCCTGTGTCAGTGCAGCTGCAACTCACATATCCAAATGACAACAGGTAGATGTGCCCATAAATCCCTTTTCTTTCTAGAAACCAGAACCTATGTGTAAGTTTTTGTCATTGTTCTGGACTTGAATGTGTAAACAGGCAGAGAACAATGCACCCTTCCTCCACATCTAGAGAATGTCTATTCCCTTGTTTCTTTTCCAGGGATGGCTGGACAGTCAGCTCTAGTCTAGGGAATAATATCCCTACCCCCCACTCCCTACCCCCCATAACCTTGTGCACACCTCAGGCTGTCCACTACCTCTGTACTTCCAGTTTGGGTATAGGCCTAGAGGAAAAAGGACCCATGTAATATAGAGATTCCATGATTGGGTGAGGGTTCCAGCCCAACTCCAGAACTTCAAATAGCCTGAATTATTACAATAAGCCCTAGAACAGTTCATCTGAGTCACCCCACTGCCAGCACACACACAGCCTCCTCTGGGAGAAGGATTGCATTAACTGCAGACGTGGGATTCCATCCTGACACCCAGCAGTTCTGCAAGGCTGGTGGCTTATGCAGCTTTCTGTCCAGGAAGCAGATGGACTGGACCAGGTCGTCAAAATGCATGGCCGAGTCTGTCCTCAGGAGGGCTATGTTATTGCTCATTGAGTGGTTATCAAAGTCCTCGTGGATGATGATGGTATCGACTGGATACTCTGTGTGAGCAATATTTCTGTGATCCATGTTAGCTATACCAACAATAACTATGGCAGACTTCCTGGAGAGAGAGGAAGAAAGAGAACATTGAGAATCTAAGGCAACCAGGAGCTTCACATTTCCTGTTTCCTTACTTCCCAGCCTGGAATGGGTATCCAACTCATCTTCCCTGGGCTTATTTATTTATTTACTGGGGGTACTAGGAATTGAACTCAGGGGTACTTGACCACTGAGTCATATCCCTGGCCCTATTTTGTATTTTCTTTAGAAGCAGGGTCTCACTGAGTTGCTTGGCAAGCCTCACTTTTGCTGAGGCTGGCTTTGAACTCAAGATCCTCCTTGTCTCAGCCTCCTGAGCCTCTGGGATTACAGGTGTGAGCCACCATGCCCGGCCCCTGGGTTTATTTTTACTCACTCCTTTAGATCAGTCTCCAGGAAATATTTTCCTAATCCCTAGGCTTGTGTTTTCCCTTGGGAGCCTGAAGGATCTTTTATTTCACACCCTTTGTTCCAACACCTTGTTACAAATGTTAAACTTTCTATGAATGTTTTTAAAAACATGGTTATACCCATTGTGTAAGCCTCCTGCTTTTAGCACTTGACACTTTAATACAAGCATCTTTCCAATCTGATACTTTGTAAATACACTTTGGAGAAGTTCTGGTTTTACTAATGATGGAGTTAAATTTAAGTTAAGGTGACAAGAAGTCCCTGGCTATCCAGATGAACAAAAGTGAAGTCATTATAATTGGGTCATGTCACTTATTGTTTAACTCAGGGAAGCTGTGATAAGAGAGGAGGGGCTAACAGCAGGAATCTGAGACAGCAGGTCTCAACCAGACTCTTCCCAGGTGGGCAAGACCGAGTGGTCACTCTACCCAGAGGGAGAAAATAGAGCGACCTCAGACTTCTCTATAGCTGAATTCAATTCTAGAAACCAGAGTGGGGTGGGTGGGGCAAAGCCTTTAAAATCTTCAAAAAGAAAGAAGTCATGAGCCATGAAATCTGTCCTTCGGTGATCATCCAAGTTTAAGTACAGCACAATGCTTTTGAATATGCAAAGACCATGGAAATGTGGTTCTTGGGAGCCTTTCACAAACTACACAAAGACACATTTTAGCGAGACCTAGTGTCCAATGGAGGAAACCCAGACAAAGGACTGTTGGGGTATGTGAAATTCATTTTAATATTGGATTAAAATTAAAACAAAAAATTTTCAAAAGTTTTTAGATTACAACAAAAATGTAAACCTTTGCAAAAATCAAATAGCATAACAAGTTAGAAAGCAAGTCAGAGATGGGTATGTAAACCAATGTTTTCATCTTTTTTAGGAGTCTAAACATATTATTCTTGTACAGCTAATATAAGAAATAATTCAATATGCAAATACATCAATGAAATGAAGGGAACACCAACACACATGTGTAATCCATTAAATCTGGACGATAAAAGAGGAGAAAAGAAGTGAAAAGATAGAAATCCTGGCATTTGCCACTGCAGAGTCTAGAAAGAACTGTCCAGAAAGAAGCAGAGGATTGGGGGTCTTGCATGAAATTATAGATCTAAGCTAAAGAAGATTTTCATTCTGAAAAGCAGAATGAAGAAACAAATTTGTTCAGCAGAGACATCTAAAGCAAAAGAAATGTCATATAGTGAAAAGAAAAACAAGAAATAAAAACAGAAAATGCAACCTGAAACAAGAACGAGAAGCAGCAGTCGCAACCCAAACATCGACTCTGAGAAGAGCATTAAGTAAGGCTACAAAAGGCTCTTAGAGATGACAAAGAATTCAGTCTATGGTAAAGTGACACAGTGCCCAAGTAAAAAAAAAAATCACAGGAAATAAGAGGAGAATCAGGCTTGTTCTCGGTAGGAGATTTCAACTCACCTCTATCAGTCTAGTACACTGATCAGGTAGATCTCCTCTTCCCATTTTTTTAATGTAATAAATTATACATCAAAGAGAGTGAACTTTTGGGAAAATATTAGCATGTTCCACATATAATAGACTACAAGACAACCTCAGCAAATGGCTAAATAACTTGCCATGCAGCATAACTCGAATAATGTTAGGAAAAAACTAACAACGGATCCTAGCATCTGGATATTTTAAAACTCTGTCTTTAATAAAACACTTGAGTCAAAGTGAAACTCAAAACCAGAACTCAAAACTCAAAACCAGGACTAAGTGATAGAGAATAGCAACAATGAAAACTCTAACGGAAAAGCAGAACTTCCGAACTTCCGTGCAGGGCTCGTTGGCAAGAGCAATGGAGACTATATAAAGGCATGTCTTTTTTAATTCTGTCTTTCCACACCTAGGTTATTCATACTACACTATATTTACATGTGTGTGAAATAATGTTTGTACAAGTCTACTGGAGCATTTTTGGTACTAGTCAAAGTTGGAACAATTCCAATTCCCATTTTTTGGGGGGATGGGGTTACCGCAGATTGAACTCAGGGACACTTGACCACTGAGCCACATCCCCAGCCCTATTTTGAATTTTATTTAGAGACAGGGTCTCACTGAGTTGCTGAGCACCTCACTTTTATTGAGGCTGGCTTTGAACTTGAGATCCTCCTGCCTCAGCCTCCTGAGCTCCTGGGATTCCAGACAGGCACCACCACACCCGGCTTAAATTTCCATTCTTAATGGACTGTGTAATTATGCTGTATCCACAATGGGGTATTGTACAGCTGGCAAAAAGGTCATAAAATATGCAAATATGATTCTTATCTATAAGATAAATTCTCTAAAATTATCGAGTGAAAAAAGTTAAGAGAGGAATAAGGTAGATGGTATGCTCGTAGTTGTATTGGGGGATGTTGTAGAATGAACTGTGTTCCCCTGCACCCCCCCAAAAAAAATTCATAGGTTGAAACCCTGACCACCAATGGGACTGTATTTAGAGATACAGCCACTGAGAGGGTCATTGACGTTAAAGAGGCAGGTCTCTAATTCAACAGGACACTAGAGATAGACACTAGGGATGTCCACATAGAGAGAAAAGGCCACTCAAGGGCACTGCTGGAAAGCGGTCATCAACAAGCCAAGGAGAGGGGACTCAGGAGAAACCAAACCTGCCAATACCCAAACTATGACAAATTTCTTTTGTTACCCCTAGCAAATTGATACAAATTTTAGCCCTGGAGTGCCACTGTAAGAAAGTGGCTTTGAACTGGGTTCTACAATCGCCAGTTGCCCGGGTGCCTCTGCGCTGGGGACTTGTGAGTGGCGACTGAGGAGCAAAGTGGCTTCTGCTCCATTCTCTACAGGCAGGACATGCATTCTGGTTTTACTATAGTCACAGAGGCACCGACTTTTTTTTTTTTTTTGGCTGGAGATACCGGGGATTGAACTCAGGGGCGCTGGACCACTGAGCCACATCCCCAGATGTGGCAGAGCAGGTGGTGAGCTGGGAGCCAGCTCCCTGGTGGTGGGAATCTACCCTGCCCTGCAAGGTGTCTCTGGACTGAGTAGGGAACAGCCACCCTGTGACCCCACCCTCCGGCCTCGTGCGCCCCAAGGCAGAGGTACTGGCCTGTTTTGAAAGGCGGATGCTATGGTGAGGATCCAGAACTCGCTGAGGATGCAGCCAAACGCCAGGTGGGTGTACTGCAAGTCCTGTATTGACACCACCCAGGGGAACTGTGTGCTGGTGACCAGGTCCTCCTCGGAAAAGTCCCCAAGTGGGGACTTCTGGAGGCCGCAACCTGCAGAGGGAGTGCGGACCTTACTGTGGGGCAAGGGGTTTGTGGCCGCCTACAGGGCCACCAGCCCTGGGACCCCTCTCAAGCCGGCTCTCCGTCTTGCTCATCATGATTCTACCACCCTGTTTCTTTTCTTTCCTTCTCCTAGGTGGTCTTCCACATTAAAGATGCTTGGTGGCATCTTTGGACCGAAACATCACATCCGACATTGATGCTAATGCTCATTTATTGAGCATGCAGCCCTACACGCCAGGCAATACCTGAGCTCTTCTGAATACGTCACCGGTTCCCAAAGTGTCCTCTGGGACCTGGGGAGTCAAGATGCTTTTCTTCCAGGTTTAAAACTATGATTTGCTTTTCTTACTCTCCTTCTGTGACTACGGTAGGTGGAATTTTCCAGAGGCTTCATGATGTCATCCCTCAGATGGCCAATAGTGTGTGTAAATTCATGTGTTCTTGTGTTTTAAGTTTTTCCTAGTTTAAATTTTTAATACGGTAGATACAGAAAGCTATAGCTCCATAAAACAAAAAGTCTTTGGACATTGCCGATAATTTTTCAGAGTGTTAAAGGGTCCTGAGAAAAATTTGATAATTGCCTGTATTCCCTACTTCACAGGATCCCCCCAACAACCCTGAAGGTTGGGCGTTGCCACTCTCAGCTCCTGGGTGAGAAAATCAAGGGTGAGGGTGACTAAGCACTTGTCGGTTTACACAGCTGGTAGCATATGGGGCCATTCCAGACCAATCCAGACTCCAACCTCTCAACCTCAAGGTTTATGTTCCAGCCACAGTTTGTATCCTTGAATCCACCCTTGCTCTCTCCCAGCAAGCTGTGCGTCTCTCCCTGCTACTGGGTCTGTTTTTCTTGGAATATATCCCTAGGGTCTAACATGGTGCCTGGCACCTAGCAGTTGCTCAGTAAGTTACCTAGTTCATGAACAAAAGGGCTCTGCCCGCTAAGGCTCCCCGACCTTTTGTCATTGAGGGGCTAAAAGGTTCTGGCCACTGGGGGTTGTCTGTGTCCTCCACCAGTGCTGCTCAGCGTCTGCCTTCCAATTATTGAACTGGACAATCTCTTGGATAGCCTGGACTTTGTTCCAGTGAGATTTAAATGTTGATTAATGGTTTAAATAGTATACTCCCCTACTAGTACTGGGTCAGTCCAGGGTGGTCCTGTCTTGCCCTGAATTAAAAAAAAAAAAAAAGTAATCTACATATGGAGTCATGGAGCTTTAGGATGTCAGAAAAGGAAGACTCTTAAGATTGATCCAGGGGCTGGGGCAGTGGCTCAGGGGTAGAGCGCTTGCCCAGCATGTGTGAGGCACTGGGTTCGATTCTCGGCACTGCCTTTAAATAAATAAAATAAAGGTCCATTGACAACTAAAAAATATTTTTAAAAAACTGATCCATTTGGGAAGGAGTACCTCACAAATCAGCACAATTTTTATGTGACAGTTAAATAAAATTAAAAATAAAACATATTTGAGACAGGAAGGAGGGAGGGAGAGAAAGAGGGAGGGGGAAAAAGAAAGGGAAGGGAATGGACGTCCTCAAAGCCGCAGGTGGGGTCAGCTGAGCCCCCCAACTTTGTTGCACCCTGGGTTACAAGACGGCAGTTCCAGGGGCTATTTTGCTCTCCGCTGCCCTGTGTCTTCCTTCCCCAGTCAACATGCCTTGTCTGGGGAGCCCCACCCCCACAGGACTTGGTCCCTGTCTACTTTTTGGACCCAGAATGCCCCTAAGCAGAGGTGGGTGCAGAGAGTGTCTGTCCTGGCCATACATTACACTTGCCAGAATCCTGAGCACTGCATTTACTCAGGGTAGTTTCTCAGGATAGATTCTAACGTGTTTAGGAAGGACCTGAACGCAGAGTCCAAAGTCAAGTCGGCCTCTGAGGCAGCTGTGAGAACGTGGGGGAGCCACTTCACTTCTCTGAGTCTCCATTTCCTCTTTTGAAACATGGGGCAGAGTCCAGGACCCGCACACCTCTTAGAGGTGTAGTGATCACACACGGTGAAATTACAGGCAAGTGCTTTGCAGACTGTATCCCTAAGACAGATAATGCTCAACCTCAGGGCAGAATGGACAACTGTATTTTTAAAAATCCAAACGATTGCTTTGGTTGCTCTTTATAAATCCAGATCTGCAAGCACCAACACTTACTTCTAAATCGGTGGCCTTGGGTCACAGGTGTCACATGATGAACACCCCCAGACTGTATGAATTTTACTATTGGTGACTGCACTTACAGCCATGCATTCACCAGCACAGAGCCCTGCCAGGTGTGGGCACAGGCCGATGAGTGATGGCCATGTGGAGATCTGTGACTCGAGGGAGTGCGCCTGGAGTATACAGAAGAGGAGCCGTGAATTCTGCCGTGACGTCTGGGAGGTGACCTTTCTTGTCAGCTCCAGAGACAGTTTCCAAATCATGATACTCTGGGTTACTTGTCATCTACAATATAGTATCATTAAAAGACCACAGAGGACCTCTCTATTATGGGATATGATGTGATCAAATATCTCATTAAGGGACCCTTGGAGATTTTACTGGAACAATAACTAGGCTCACTGTTAGCAAGATGGTATCAGTAAGGCCACAAAGTGCTTCAGGAACCACCAAAGGCAGGATTCCTTATCTACAGTCTGATTTTTTGTTGGGACATTGGCAATCTTTAGAGTCTGGGCATTGATCAATCCCTCCTAACCCAGGTGCCTTTTGCATGTGATGGCTTGTGCCTTTCCAAAGCTCTAGTTGGCCCACTCAGTTGACCTCACTGACCCTTGGGAAGCCAAGTTGTCATGAGATCGGATGCAGAGATAAAATGTCTATCTGGGTCACTCAGCTGTGTTTTCTAGGCATCTCTTTGTCTCCTTGGGGCTGCAAGGAGGCCGTGGAGGTGGAGGAGACTGAGGCAGGCGGAGGGCCCCTGGTAACGTGCGTGGGGGTGGGTGCTGTCCTGTCTCCTATCTTTCCCGGGAAGGTAGGGCCCAGCCAGCTGTGGTGGCCGCAGGGTGGGGCCAGTCCTGATGTAGTGGGCTTAGTCGTCAGCCGGCCCCTGTCTGCCTGCCTTTTGCGGGTTGGAACTCTTAGTCCTAAAGATCCTGGAGATCAGGAGAAGAGGGGATTGCAGCTGCCACAGTTGCCACCTGAGGCTCTTGCAGGCTGCAGGCCACCTACAGCAGGAGCAGCCCCACACTAGGTGGTTACAGTTGGCAGAGGGCAGGGTCGGGGACAGGCCTCCCGCTGACTCTCTGCCTGGCATCCCTCTCTGCGGTCTAAGGCTTATTTTCCTACCCTGAGGAGTAGCCCTGGCATTGGGCTTCTGAAGCCACTTTTCTACATCTACACCCCATAGTTTGCGGGGATGCCTGGTTCCTGCTGTCAGAGCAAAGTGCTGTGTCAGCTCCCTGAGTCCCTCCCTGGACACTGAGGACCACTTCACTTCCTGGCCCAGGTGGGGTCAGCTGAGCCCCCCCCGACTTTGTTGCACCCTGGGTTACAAGACGGCGGTTCCAGGGGCAATTTTGCTCTCCGCTGCCCTGTGTCTTCCTTCCCCAGTCACTCACCGGGCCACTCACCGGCAGAGGATTGGAACAGGCAGAGCAGCACCAGCAGCACCCCTCTCATCTCTGCCATCCCCAGAGAGGACCACAGCGGACACCATGGGCAGCTGGGGAGACAGGAGATTTAGCGACTGCACATCCCGGCAAACACACCCAGGGTCTTCCTCACCCCCCACAAAGGGGTGAGTGTCAGGGACCTTGAAACCAACCTGTCACATCCCTAGTGCTTGGTTCTGTGCAGTAAAGGGGCACGATGTCCAGCTAGCAGTTCGTAAGATGGCTCAAGGAGAGAAGGCAGCCCACTTTTTTACAGTTTTCTTCTCAATACAGCCTGAACCCCTGGACGTCCTAGAGAGTTAGGTCTCTGAAAAGGGTTTGTTTTGCCTCATGGAATTCAACCCTTGCGATAACTCTGTATCCATAAAATGCTGCTGAGAGAAAAAGCAGGGTTTGGGTGGAAGCCCACCCCAGGCTCAGGTCTCTCCTGTGATTTGGCCCCTCTTTTCACCTCTGCAGGATTAAGTCATGCTGGCATTTCTTTTCACTAGCAACAGCCAGTACCTTTCCAAAGTTGCGGCCCCAGCATCTAGCTCATTCATTCACACAACCACCCAGGGAGATAGACCCTCTTATGATCCTCATTTTACAGATTCACACAGTGACACTCAGAGACATTGAGAAACCAGCCCAAGGTCACACATCTCCCAAGCTGTGGACCTGAAATTTGATCTCAGGACCATCTGAATCCAGGCTCTTGGGTTCTGCATGTCATTCCACATCTCCAGGCCAGCACCCTTGCTTCAAACAATGCATGACGCCCTAAGAAACCCAGGTACACCGTTCTAAGTCACCTTGTTCTCCTCATGACACCAGATGTTCCTGGTCCTCAGGATGGTCTTTAGAGTTCTTCCATGAACTGCTCTCACTAAAGAAGAAATGAATTCACTCTGGCGGCCTTACGCAGCAGAGCTCAACAGAGGAGTTTGTTCTACTACCTCGGGAAGAATGTTCCATTGTGGCATCGTGGTTACCATGGTGCCTCCAAGCAAACGTCTGGATGTGGGAACTCAGGAAGACCTAGGATGAAAAGCTTCTTGACATCTAACCTCGTCAGGTGCTGCCCAGGTCTGGCTGGGGAGACATCTCTTGCGAGATCACAGAGTTCTCACTGTTGGTAGCCTGGGTCTGTCTTTGCCCTCAGTACCCACCCTGTAGCTACCCAAGTAGAGGTAGACTGAGGACTGCTGGACTGAGGAAGCCCACAAATGGGGTAGGTTGGAGGTTTCCAGTTCCTTCAGTATCCTATATCCCCAGTGTGGTTCTTCAAGGGTCAGCCCAGTTTTCTTTAGCTCAGTGGGTTCAAGCCAAACAGTAGACCTGCTGGGCTAAGACATGGGGCCAGTTGGAATCTGTGCTTCAGCCATTTATGAGCAACTTTGGTTTCAGCACAAATGCCAGGACTCAAGGAAAGTGTCGACAGCACAGGGGTAAGATTTAACTCGGTGAGCCACAGAGGCTCACAAGCTCCTGGCACCAGCGCTCAGAAGAGATGTACTGTATGGGTAATGATGCCTGGAGGGAGACAAAATGGTGGGATGGGAAGGGAAGCCCCAGTCAGAAAGGGGCTGCTGTCTCCTGGCCCTGGTGGTCCCCTGGATGTCCTGCACACCTGCACCTATCACCATTAACCCCAGGCAGGAATGACTTCTGCTGGGAGAACAGAATGGGAAACATGGGCAGTGGGAAAAGTGGAAGTTGGCTTACTCCATTTACTTACCTTCCATTTACTCCCCATTGAAGGTCTCAAAGAACTTTCATGAACGTTTTCTCATTCACAATCCAAGTCACCAGGGAAGGATGAAGGTTAAGCTTTACAGATAGAACATGGTGGCCCAGAGTGTGGAAGTCACTTCTCTAGAGTCACAAACCTGGAAAGTGACAAGAACAGGACCAAACAAGGTCCTTACAACTCCAGGGTGGTGAGCCATCTCCGAGTCTGGGTTTGTCAGTCTGGGCCACATGATGCCATTAAAAGAAGCAGAAATGGTAAGAGGAGCAAATCCATGGGCTGCTTTTAAGTCACTGCACCCTGAAAGTCAAATTATAATCAACAGTCATAGGGACTGACTGATAATGAACATTTGTACCATGTTTGCTGTGTCTATTAATGCAAATTTTAGTGCAAAGTTTAATGTAAATTGAACTCCAATGAAAGCTTTAGATTGTAAGTTACTCAATTTAAAAGGAATATTTGTAAATTTTCTTTGTCACTAAACTTTCCATTCAATTTTTTTTTTTTTTTGATACAGGGGATTGTTGAGCCCAAGGGTACTTTATCACCGGCCCTTTTTTTTTTAGTAAAAAACAAAAGATTTATACCATCTGAAGAGAAACCAGAGTATACCAGCCCCCCCTTTTTTATTTTTAATTTTGAGACAGGGTCTTGCTAAGTTGCTTAGGGCTTTGCTAATTTGCTAAGGCTGGCCTTGAACTTGTGATCCTTCTGCCCCAGCCTCCTAAGTCACTGGGATTATAGACATGCACTACCATGCCTGGCACCAATTTCTCACTATTAAATTCTATACATCACTAAACTTACAACAGAAATGCTAGAAAACATTATTATCATCTTGTACTTACTAAAAGTTTCCTCTTCTTTCTCCTGCTCCTGGGAGAGAATGCATTTCTTATTCCATTGCTCCTTAATAGGTTTATTTACATGATGTAATTCCTAAACTCTATATTAAGCACATGTGCAAGAGTTTCTCTGGGATAAAGTCCCCCGTATCAGTTAGGACCCTTGGCACCTTATTTAAGAAACCCTTTAGTAGCTGAACATTTGAGAGATCAGTTCCACTTTGTCTTCTCAAAACTTTATAGTTCTCCACAGTAAGTCCTCTGTCTGGATTTTTTTTTTTGAGGTGCACAGTGTGGATCCATTTCTCACTGGATGCCCAGTTGAGCCAGCATTATATGTGTTTACAGGTCTCCAGTGAGACTTATATATATATATCAAAGTTCCATTTATCCCTGGGTTTGTGTCCAAGATCACTCTCCTATTATATTGGTCATTTGTCTTTTGCCCTGTGTGCAAATTCCACACAATCTAAAATATTACAGCCTTTTATGTCTTAATATCCTACCTAATTATTTTTCTTTAGCAGTATCTTGAATATTCTTGGCACTTTGTACTTTTATATAATTTAGAAACAACTTGGCAACTTACATACATACACAAATGAAACCTTGCGAAGATTTGTATTAGAATTGCTTTGCATTTACATATCAGTTTTTGTGGATAGATTAACATCTTTACAATATTGAATCTTTTATCCATAAATACAAAATATCTATCATTTAACTAGGTCTCCTTTAAGATTTTTCAATAAAATTTTATGATTTTTCCACATAGACCTTGTACATCTTTTGATAGAATTGATGCCTAGATATCTTATACTTTTTGGTTTCAATTAAATGATGTCTTCTCTTACTATTATGCTTTAAAACCATTTCTTACTATTTGAATTTGTACTAATCTATAGTAAATTTAAAAGATCTTATTTAGATTATTTTGTGTTTTCCACATAAATAATCATATTACTTGCAAATAATGAAAATTTTGTTTCTTCCCTTTCAATTGTTGAGCCTTTCATTTCTTGTCTTATTGCTTTGGCTAAGACCTTTAGTACAAAGCTGAATAGAATTGGCAATAGAGGGCATCCTTACCAAACTCATGGTCAAAGGAAAGGCATCTAACTCTTCCCATTTAAAATAACATATGATAGAAGTTGTTAAGTAGATTTACTTAATTAGGCTAAGGAATAACCCTTTTATTTCTAAGTTTGACTTTGTTTTAATAAAAATCTGAGGCTGAATTTTTTCATGACTTTTGGCATTTATTGAGATAAGGATATGCTTTTTCTTCTTTAATTTGCTAATGTGATTAATGAAGTTTATGGACATTCTCAAACCACTCTTGAGTTTCAGAGATTAATATTTTCTCTTTTGAAACACTATTACTCATCAATGTTTCAAATAGGATTTTTGGTGAGCATCTTTATGAGTTATACTGGCAGCGAATTTTCCTTTCATGTACTCTTCATGTACTCTTCTTCTTAGTTAAACTGGCTTCATGGAATTAGCTAGGGAGATAGAAATGACATGTTCACTGAAATTTTGCAGAATTAGTTTGAAACTCTCTAGGTCTGGTATTTGCTTTGTGTGAAGATTTCTAACTATGACTCATTTTTTAAATTCCTCCCAGACTACAATGACTATTTATCTTTATTTGTTCTTTATCTCTGGCTCCTTTTAAGAACTTTTGGTATACTATGACTTCACTATAAGTTGAAGCATGAATCCCTTTTCATTTGTTCTGTTCAGGATACACATGTTTCCTAGATTTGTGTGTTTATATTTTCTTATAGGTTCTGGTTGTTATCTTTTCAAATAATGCCTCTTCTTTAGGTTCTCTATTCTTTATTTCTGGGGTTCCAAATAGGTATATGATAGACTTTCTCATTTTATTCTTCACATCTCTTGTCTTTTCATATTTTTATCTTTTTATCACTCTGTGTTGTGTTCTGGGTGATTCTTGTGATGTACTTTCCAGTGTATTAATTCTCTTTTTCATCCATCTTTAATTTTCTGTCCAACCACCTTCTGGAGGTGTTTTTTTGTTTATTTGTTTGGTGCAATTGTTTTGTTTTAATTCAACAAAGAAACTTTTTTTTTCTTTTTGTTATTTCTAGAAGATCCATTTTTAAGGTCTCTGTTTATTTCTGAATATATTTCCTGGGGTCTTATGTTCGTTATTACATCCTTCATCAAACACTTCATATATACATATATCTGTTCTATATTTGGATTCTGACAGTTCCAAGGTCAGCTCTCTGAGAGGTGGAGGGATTCTAAAATAGTTTTTTTTTTTGTTTTGTCTCCTACCTGGCACACACAAGTGGCTCCTTGTACTTTCAAAATACTTGCTACTTTTTTCCTCTTGCTCTATATGGGTGCCCTAAGGGTCTAAATTGAACGCATTTTCTCCCAGAGAGAATTGGCCCCAGAGGGCAC